TCTTTCCCTCTCTTTTTCTCTTTGATAAAGGATAAATAAGTAAATACCTTTCAACTCCTTCCAACTGGTGTTGGAACAAAGTAAAGCTTACAACCAGCATTTAAGATTTGGTTATCCTGGGGCCAGCAGGTGGCCTGGTGGTTAAGGGCGCTCAACTCCTACATGGCCAACCATGGTTCAAATCCTGGATCTGTTGGCTTGTTTTCTCACTTTCCCTCTCTCTCTCCCTCTCACACACACACACTCTGTCCTTCTCTGGTCAAATTAAAATAAATAAATAAATTTAAATAAAATAATTCTTAAAATTAAAAAAATATATAAGATTTGGCTATCCTTCCCTGACAAAATCAAATCTCCCCATAAAGGTTCTTACACATCTTGTATCCTTCCTTCAGAACATGTGCCAGGGTTAAAGTTCAATGTGTTTGTGTGATTATATTTTTCCAGCATGTGTATCTTTTTCCATCACTGTATCCCTAGGACCTGGTACAGTCCCTGCACTGAGTATTTGTTGGATGAGTTAATGTTATTTACAAACTTACTGTTTTCTTAAAGCAGGCCACTGAATGATTCTATATAATTTTTGATTAGCCTAGCAGAGTTCATTACATATACTTTCTATTATTTTAAAGGGAAACCATGCAAACATTGTTACAAAGTCAAACAAGGGCTGACAGATGGCATAGAGGTTAAGGGGCTGGCTCCCACATGGCTGACTTCATGGTTCAAGTCCAGGACCCAGAGGCTTGTAAAAACATGCTGGGTGCATGTGTGTGCATGCCAAAATCCTGAGAGAAGAATGGAAGAGATGGGATTGTAGCATGGTCATCTCTCTAGGAATGATTTCTCATTTTCCCTCTCTCTCTTTCTGTCTCTCTCCAGCAAATGTACATACCCTGTAGCAATTCTAAAAAGAGAAAAAGAAAAGTCCAACAGTAGTGGGTAAGGTAGCCAGATACATGTAGTTTAAATCCTGGCTCCAGCAGCTTGAAGAACCTGCCAAACACACGTGTGTATGTGCCCCAAATCTCAACAGGATGATGACATGGAGAAGAAAGGATTGTGGCATGACAAAGCCCCACCGTTTGGGGGCTGCTTTCTTCCTCTTGCTCTCTCTCGGTCTCTCTAGCTGTCTCTGGAAAGCACGCATGCCCTCTGGCAAGTAAGAAAAAAACAGCTTAATGTGTAGCTTATGTGTATATGTATATGTATGCATGTAAAAGTAAAAATGTTTTTTTTTTTTTTTTTAGGTTTTTGACATAGGGTACTTGAGCTCATCAGAGAGAAAGAGAAAGTGAGAGCGAAAGTGAGAAATCATTCCCTGGGAGGATGGCCACACCACTATCCCTTCTCTTCCATTCTCCTCCTAGAATTTTGAGTGCACACAGTCATGAGCCCAGCGTGATTTTCAAACTATGGTTGGTCATGTGGGAGTCCAGCACCTTAACCACCACGCCACCTGCTGACTCCTAAAATAAAATATACTTTTAAACCGTTGTTTCATAGTACTCTTAATTTAGACTGTTTTTTCTTAATCTAGTATAATCACTAAAACTATATCATGCATCAAAAATATTCTTAAGAGAAGGTTGGGACCAGCAGTTGGCATAATGGCTGTGTTGCTGAATTCCCATGCAGTCTACCACAGTTTGAGTCCTGGACCCAGTGGCTTAAACTCATGTTGGGCACATGTACATGTATGCCCAAGATTCTGAGAGGAGAAGGGATTGCAGAGTGACCAACCCCCTGGGTGATGACTTCTCGCTTCCTGTCTCTCTGTCTTTCTGGCAAGCGCACGTGCCTTTTAGCAAAAACCTCTCAAAAAAAAAAAAAAAAAAGAGAGAGAGAGAGAGAAGGTAATGAGAGGACCAGCTGATCATTAATCAGGCTAAACTCCATTCTTACCTGCTTCCCCAGTCTCTTCGGTCTGGGTGCTCATTAAACAGGCAATAAATTTGTTATCCACTTGCTGGAGAACCTGCCATACATCCAAACGAGTAGTAAAACACTAAGTTAAAAATTAACAAAGCCTCATCTGAATAGAGGGAGATAAAAACTAACTTCAATTAGTTGTTTGCATTATAATACCCATATCTAACGCAGAAGAGTGATCAGACATAAAAGGAAGAATATTAAAAAGAAAACAGACTAAGGCATCTAAGGAAAAATAAGCTAACAAAAACCTGAGCATGGAACTGAAATATTCCCAGTAAAGTGACTTCTAATAATGGAAATGTAACCAGAGATTACTAAAATGACTGGATATTGCTAACAAAGTGTTAAAATACTTTTTTTTTTCAGTAAAATAGAATTTAAAACATGGAAGACTTCATGAATTTGCATGTCATCCTTGTGCAGGGGCCATGCTGATCTTCCATTGGTCCAATTTTAGTATATGTGCTGCCAAACTGAGCTCAGACTAAAATACATTTTTAAAATATATGTAAAAGCAAGGAAAACCATTTTGCGATAGCTAATTCGTTAAAGCAGCATGTCAAAGCCACTGGTGGCTCCTTCTGTCCAGGTACAAGAGCTCCCTGAACCTCCCTGGCCTACATACTGCCTCAGGGCCTACTTCTGATCAGCTGCTTGCTTGATCTTGGCACCAAGTCAAAGCCAGGTTAGTCTACCTAGATCTGCCTAACTTCCTAACCTGTCTCTCTACTGAAATCAAGGAGACTAAAAGACAGCCAAAAATAGTACAGAGAGGGCAAACGAGAAAAACAGATGAGGCTGGGCTGGTCCTGTGGCCTCGTGGTTAAAGGAGCCAGATCACACATGACTGACTACGCGGCTCAGTCCTAGACCTGGCAGGTTGTGGCTGTGCATGCCTCAGATCCCGACAGGATGGAGACATGGAGGAGAAAGGACTGCATTGTGAAGGTGCCCCTTTGGAAGGTGCTTTCTCTCTCCCTTTATGTCTCCCTCTGGACAAGCACATGAGACATCGGGTTAAAAAAAGGAAAGAAGGGGACCAGTGGGTGGGTGGTGATTGAGGTCTTGGACACTCCCACATGGCTGACCACAGTTCCAATCCTGGGCCTGGCAGCTTGCTTTCTCACTTTCCCTCTCTCTCTCTGTCTCTCTCTGGTCAAATTAAAATAAAATGAATGAATAAATAAAAATTAAAAAAAAAAAAAAAGAAAAGAAACAAAGGAGGCAAGAGGTCTCTTTTGTTAACAGAACTCCTTAGTCAGGTTTCCTAGCCTTCATGGCCTCACACCATACAGGTTTTTTTTTTTTTTTTAAATTATTTTATTTAATTATATTTATTTATTTTTAAGAGGTTTTCGCTATAGGGTGCGTGCGCTCGCCAGACAGACAGAGAGAGACAGAGAGATAGAAAGCGAGAAATCACCCCCCAGGGGGGATGGCCATGCCGCAATCCCTTCTCCTCCATTCTCCTCTTGGGATCTTGGGTACGCATGCACACGTGCCCGGCATGAGTTTTAAGCCGCCAGGTCCAGGACGTGAACCACGATCGACTACGTGGGAGTCCAGCGACATAGCCATTACGCTAACTGCTGGTTCCCATTTTATTTAATTATATTTATTATTATTATTATTTTTTAATTTGACCAGGGAGAGAGAGACAGGGAAAGTGAGAAAGTAAGCCAGCAGGTCTAGGACTTGAACCATCATCAGCCATGTGGGAGTCTAGCGCTCTAACCACCAGACCTCCTGCCAGCCCCTACAGGGTCATTTTAAAAAAGGACCTTGTTGCACATTTAAGGACAATGTCTCTAAAGCACTTTGTTAATGTATAAATTATTGGCAAATATAAAATTATTACACTCCTCTGCAGAAATAGCTAATCAACTCCTTGAAACTGTGAGCCTTAGTCCAAAATTTATTGCCTCCAAACCTGCTCCCATTAAGGACATTTATTTCTTTGTACCTATGATTAACCTCTTATTTTATCTTCTGATTTTAAAAGTTCCAGTAAGATTAAATACACCCATACTCACGCGCACATGTGTTTTGAGCAAGGTAGTCTATGCTGTTAGATAAATCCAACTTGCTAAGTGTTAATCTAGCTTGGGCCTTCCATTAATTTTTTTACTGAGATTTTGAAGTCAATCTTTTACCTGCATTGAATGAATCATTTCTTTGGTGAAACGATAGGGATACAAGATGTTGTGAATTTTAACTGCTAAGCTCTCAGCCTGGCCACTGCTTACATCAACAGCAACCTAGAAAGACCCAGCATAAACATGGTTTTACTTTTAATTTTTTTACATCTGCAGAACCGTTTTATCGAAGATCTCAAAGTGCTTTAAAACATTCATTTTCACATAACCTACTAGTGGTGGGTTGAATTCAGGGAACTTACAGAAATTCAAAAGACTCTATGAATAATTATTCTTAAATAATAATTCTTATTTATAAACAAAATCATTGACAAAAAACAATACTGTTTCAGAACAATTTGTCTATGCTCTAATCAAGTCCTTTAAAGACATTTTTTCCTTAAAAAAATAACTGACGAATTAGCAATCAAGTGTTCATCTATTATACACCCACATTACAAGAGTACATTCTGTGATAGCACGTTGAGGGGAGATATCCCCAGGTCCAACGATAAACTTTCTCTAGTAAGATTCACTACCTCATGGAATAGTAACACTTCCACTGTCAACACGCTGGACATTTTGCTAAAGCTTCAAGTCAGAGTTTTTAAGAGAGAGAAACACACTAATTCCCACACTGATGACACATGTTTAATTCAAAATGCCTGAGCTCCCAAAATGCTATGAAGCCTGAGTCCTCTTCTCTACATTAAACATTAATTTCCAAATAAATTATTTGGAAATGTGCCCACTTCCCATTCATAATTACAAATTAGTACAGTAATTCATGCCCATCCATACCCGGCTTAAATGAAATTTAATTTTAAAATAACAGGTAAAGAACAATGGCTGCAGACCCACCTCTGGGTAACGGGCAAATACAGGATTGTCCCATTCTGAGAACAAAGACTGAAGTGAGTCACCACCATCATCCACAGTATCTAGAGCAAAAGGGGACAGGTGAGGTTGCATCATGAGCCCAGGGAGTTGGAAGAATGGCATCTTCTGTTTGGTTGCAGCCTCAAGACCACAGATCAGACACAGCGTTCCTATTCTAGAAATGTTCAGTATTTGCTTTATCCAAAAAAAAAAAAAAAAATGGTTTTAAATTCAGACAGGGCCTGAGTAGCAGCAAGCAGTATACATCTATCACCACAATGGGCTTCTAAATTGTTCTGACATGTTACCTTTTTTTTTTTTAAATAGAGGTTTTTGCTATAGGGCGCATGTGCTCGCCATAAAGACAGAGAGAGACAGAAAATGAGAAATCACTCCCCAGGGGGGATGGCCACGCCACAATCCCTTCTCCTCCATTCTCCTCTTGGGATCTTGGGCACGCACACGCACCTGGCGTGAGTTTAAGCCACTGGGTCCAGGACTCAAACTGCGGTCAATTACATGGGAGTCTAGCGACATAGCCATTACGCCAACTGCTGGTCCCGATGTTACTTTTTAAACTAGACTTGAGGACTGTATCTTGGCATTACAGCTTTTCTCCTAAATGTTTAAAGAATACAAGTCCAGAAGAAACTATGGCTTAAATAGGTAGCCTAACTGTCTTTAGGTTAAAAAAAAAAAAACTAATAAATATTTGTAGCTTTTGTTGATGTACTGGCTTAAGTAAAACTACTGCAACATGGAGTAGAATTCCATTTTTTAAAAATAAAGAACATTTCCCCAATCACAAGACACCGCAGACTATGCATAATCATCCAGTATTGACCTCAAGTCTGGAAAAGTAATTTCTGATCTAAATGCATGCACTGAATTACTTAGTTCTGCTGTTAAATAGGGCCATGGGGAATTCCTGGTTCCAGGAAGGCACAGCTGGCACTGATCAAGCTTAATAATGCAAGCCTGCAGTGTTCTTTGAGTTAGGTGGTAACGGTGTGTACTAGGTGTCCCAGCAATCTCTGTTATTGCCCCTACCTCTCTTTTGCTGTCTCATCACAGTCCTCTCTTCCCGGGCCCTTGGAAGAAAAGGTAGAACAAGGTCGCTTCTAAAAGGATGACACCTGTACTGAGACCCTAAATATAAAAAGAAAAACCTAGAAATTTGAACTTGAAATACAAATAAAGTATTAGAAAATTAAATTACAGAAAATCTCTTTCTGTACAAATTGAATGAAGACATGAGGCAGATTTTTTAATTTTTAATTTGCTATAGGGTGCATGTGCTTGCAGGAAAGAGACAGAGAAGGGGAGAGAGAAAGAGAAAGTGAGAAAGCATCCCCAAGGCAGATGGTCACACCACAATCCATTTTCATCCATTCTCATGAGATTTTGGACACATACGCCTGGTGTTTTTTTTTTTTTTTTTTTTAGAATTATTTTATATAACTTTATTTGTTTAAATTTGACCACAGAGAGAGAGAGAGAAGGGGGGGGGGGGGTGAGAAAGCAAGCCACCAGGCCCCAGACTTGAACTGCAGTTGGCCATATGGGAGTCCAGTGCACCTAACCACCACGCCACCTGCTGGCCCCATGTATGGTGTGTTTTTTAAGCCACCAAGTCTGGGACTCAAACTCTGCTGTCGGCCACGTGGGACCAAGCCACTTCAACCATCATGCCACTTGATAGGCTCAAGGGAGACTATTAAACACTGGATTGAGGACCAGAAGTTCTTCAATGAAATTATTTTGCTAACTTAGGAATTTACACTAATGTTTAACCCTATCATTCATCTATACCAAACAGAATAAGATCTAGACTAGGTCACAGTGGTTCTCGATGGAGCAATTTGGAAAGGAGAATATTTGGCAATGTCTTGAGACATTTTTTTACTGTCACAGCTTGGGTGAAGGGTGCTACTGGCATCTAGCAGATAAAGGCTAGGGCTTTTGCTAAATATCCAACAACACATAGGACAACCTCTACAATAAGGAATTACCCAGAGAGACCCTGTTAGACATACAGTACTTAACTGTCACCCACAACTTGGGGCAACCTTCACAAATCCCAGTTTATATGTCTCTTCTCCCAATATATTTCCCCGCTGCAACACTTACCAAATTATATTACACTGTGTTTAGGTATCTCTTTTCCCTAACAGGCTGTGAACTGAAAGCAATGTCAGCTCACCTGCAGTATGACAGCTGGCCCAGTGTGGGCAATAAATACTGAATGAAAGTTTCTCAATTCAAACTCCAAAGTCAGAGATCTGGCCCAAATCCTACCCTTCTCTCTGAAAGATGTTCAGATTTAAGTTTTAGAATCAATGCTGAACTTAACGGTTTTTGAAAAGAAGCAAAACATAATGAAATTATTTATTTATTTTATAATCTTTTACTATTTATTCATTCATTTTAATTTGACCAGAGAGAGAGAGAGAGAAAAGGAAAGTGAGAAAGTAAGCTGCCAGGTCCAGGACTCAAACCATGGTTGGTCATGTGGGAGTCCAGTGCCCCAACTACCATGCCACCTGCTGACCCTGAAACTATTATTTGAAAAAGATAAATCTGGGCCAGCTCTGTGGTGTGGCAAGAACACACTTCTCAAGAGAAGTCACCTGCTATATGGTTACTGTGGTTTAAATTCCTGGCCTGGTCAGCCTGAAACACAGAACATATATGTGAATAGCCAAGATCTGACGGGCTGGAGGACCGGAGGAAAAAGACCCTGATGTGACCAGACCTGGAGGGGGGTGCTCATTTTTCTCTCTCTCTTTTATGACTCTCATGTGTATGTGAGACATACACATACACTTTATTCATGACATACTCTATCATGAATAAAGAAAAAAAGACTTTAAAAATGTAAGCTGAAAAAATATCTTAAAATAAACAAAAACTGGGACAGCTAGTAGCATGATGGTAAAGGAAGCTGGATCCCATATGGCTGATCGTGTGTTTCAAGACCCAGACCTGGTGGCTCAAAAAACACACAGGGCATGTGTGCATGCAAGCCCTAAATCCTGAGAGAAGAGTGAAGGAGAAGGAAGTGCAATGTGACCAACACCCCCTGAGGGTGGAGGATGCTATCTCACTTTTCATCTCTCTGTCTCTCTCCAGTGAGCACATGTGCCCTATAGCAAATTTTAAAAAGAAAAAAAAAAAAAAAAAAAGAAAAGGAAAGAAAAAAAAGCCAAATCTATTGAACAAAAACTAGAGATTAATAATTATTAAAATTAAGGTATGGGGACCAACAGATGACATAATGGTTACGTTGCTGGACTCCCAGGTAGTCGATTGTGGTTCGAGTCCTAACCCTGGCAGTTAAAACTCACACTGGGCACCTGTGCATGTGTGCCCAAAATCCCGAGAAGAGAATGGAGGAGAAGGGATTGCGGCGTGGCTACCCCCCGCCGGAGGGTGCTTTCTCGCTTTCTGTCTCTGTCTCTCCAGCATGTGCACATGCCCTATAGCAAAAATCTATCTCTAAAATAATAATAATAATAATTAAGGTGTGAAGAGAAATAAGATTGTATAACTGGGAATAGAAAGGACTAATTTAGCTCCAGCCTACATGGCCCAATTGGCGGCATCCTACAGTGCTGAAAGCCACATGGCCAAATGTAAATTTGGGAGTCCTGGTGGGCCTGACTGTACATGGGTGGCCAAGATCCTGAGGAGCTGGAGGACTGGGGAAAGAGGGTCGTGGTGTGATAAGACCCTGCGAGGGTTTGCTTCCTCTTTCCTGGCATGTGTACATATGCACTATCAGTTAAAAAAAAAAAAAAAAGGATTTAACTAAAGGCATTTTAAAGGAAAAACTGCCAGGGTTTGGGGACCTGACACTACTCTTTAAATTTATAGATCTTTATAGATATAATTTTTTTGTATAATAAAATTTATCTCTTAATTGAGCTCACACAACATTTTTATGCATGGTTCAATAATGTCCATGGGAACCAGCAGTTAGCGTAATGGCTATGTCCCTGGACTCCCACGTAGTCAACCATGGTTCACGTCTCAGACTCGGTGGCTTAAATCTCACGCCGGGCGCGTGTACATGCGTGCCCAAGATCCCGAGAGGAGAATGGCGAAGGGATTGCGGCAAGACCATCCCCCCTGGGGGGGTGATTTCTCGCTTTCTGTCTCTATGTCTCTCTCTGTCTGTCTGGCGAGTGCATGCGCCCTATAGCGAAAACCTCCCCCCCAAAAAAAAAAAATAATAATAATAATGTCCTAATATCCTGGGACCAGCAGGTAGTGTGGTGGTAAGGTTCTAGACACTCCCACATGGCTGACCATGGTTTAATGCCTGGACTTGGTGGATTGCTTTCTTTCTCTTGCTCTCTCTCTCTCTCTCTCTCTCTGTCTCTCTGGTCAAATTAAAATAAATGAATGAATGGATGAATGAATAAATACTTTAAAAAAAAAATGTCCTGATGTTCTGCCATACATCAGCTGTTTCCAGAAAGGGGAGCATCCAATGTAAATGGAGGCTGCGAAGGAGCCATCTTTTCATGAAACTTGTTTCTATGCCCCAAAATCTTTTTCATTAGGAAACCAAGTCCCAGACCTGGTGGTGTAAACTCACTCCAGGTGCGTGTGTGTGCGTGCCCAAGATCCCGAGAGGAGAATGGAGGAGAAGGGATTGCGGTGTGGCCATCCCCCCTGGGGGTGATTTCTCGCTTTCTGTCTCCATGTCTCTCTCTGTCTGGCTGGCGAGTGCACTTGCCCTATAGTAAAAATCTCTCCAAAAAAAAGAAGAAAAGGAAACCATGAGTTAACGTGACCTTCAAAGGTTCACTACAAAATATGCTAATGCAGAAAGGTGAGTGGAGGCAGATTTATTTAACAGGAACAGATGTTTATGTTGGGTACAGCACAGAGTTCCCCCTTTGTTTTAGCAACAACCACCTCACAGTTGAGTGTGATCCAGTTATTTTTTGGCACAGTATCAGAAGCAGCTGCATTTCAGGAAGATGAGGTGCCAGTGCCTTAGATTTACCTCTGATAAACATTCACTATAAGTCACGACATAAAACTACGCAGATTGAAAAACACATAAAATGGGCCCAAGTCCTTCTGATCGAGGCCCCCCCCCCAAAAAAAAGAAAAATACATAAAGTTACTTTAAGAGCAACCTGACAGTCTCAGGAGCAATACTGGGTTGTTCTACCTTCTATTGAATACTTAGAAAGTTCCTACGGTGATTATTTTCTTTACACAAGAAAAAGACTGAGAAGTTAAGATCTTACTTTATGTTAAAGAAAGCAGAACCTGTGTCAGACAATATTCATCCTAAGGAGAAATTACAAGTTCATTTGTGAATTGTATTAATACAATTTATATTGTTTTGCAGCATTCAAGATTTTTAATATGGATACAGATTTAATGTTTATTCTCCTAGTACAAAACCAAGAGTATAGACAGATGGAAATCAGCTTTACCATCTGGCAACATCTGGCTCTCAACACTCTGCCAAAACTTCATGTCACGTTTAATGCTGACTGAGACTTGAGAACTTGGTACTAGTCCAGGCTCTAAATGTAGTTTGTGTATGATCTAAAAGCCACATAACCGTCTTCCTGAAAACAGTGCCTTATACCACATACAGATCAAGTGGATTACCATACGCATTATAATAAAATATATTTGAAAAGTATAGTTATGGGGCCAGCCCTGTAGCACTGTGGTAAAGCCCTGTGCACAGGGAACTGGATCCTACATGGCAGAGGTTTAAATCCCAGCCTCAGTGGTTTGAAAAACAAGCTAGGAATGGGACGGCAGGTGGCGTGGTGGTTAAGGCACTGGACTCCCACATAGCTGACCATAGCTCGAGTCTCAGACCTGGTGGCTTGCTTTCTTATTTTCCTTCTCACTCTCTTTCTCTCTCTGTCTGCTTCTCTTTGGTGAGTGCATGTGTACTACAGCAAACGAAATAATAATAAATAAAATTAAATAATGTAAAAAAAAAGTAAGCTAGGCAAATGTGCATATATGCATGCTCCAAATCCTAACAGGTTGGACAAATGATTGTGGCATGGCCATGTTCCATTGGGGGATGCTTTTTTTTTCTCTCTCTCTTGCCAGTGAACACACCCACTAGCAACTAAAAAAAAAAAAAAAAAGGAATAGTTATAAAAGTATTTTAGTATATGTGCTGCTGAAGCGAGCACAAAAGTATTGACTTAACCTATTTAAAAAAACTTACGATTAAATTCTACTTTCTGTGAGGGAAAAAAGTTCATAAATATAATATAATACTGTACTGAGACAGATTTTATTGGGAAAGCTAGGATGATTACAGAATCATTCCAGCCTTTACCCTGGGAGCCAGAGAAATTTCCAGAATAGTACCACATTGGCACTGCAGGTTTCTTTAAAGACAAATTTCTAGAAGAGTTGCATTTGGGAAGGAAAGGAAGAAAGGGAAGCACTGTGGATTTTTCCAGCTATTACTAGTACCATTTTCATTAAAATTGGACTGTCTTGCTGTCTCTTATACATGTGTATGCCCATAAACACATATCTATACCCTTCTCTCCTATATCAGTCTTTCATTGTATTTCTTTATTTAATAGTGTTGGACCTGGATTATCTTCTTATGCTATAAAAAACATGCGTTTTATAATTAGTCTTCTTTTTTAATGCCAGAGGGCACAGGCATGTATGAGAAAGAAAAAGAGAGAGAGAGAGAGAAAAAAAAATCACCCGACAGGGTCTGGTAAGACTGCAATGCTTTTTCTTCCACTTCTCTACCCTGTCAGGATCCTGGGCCCACATGGATGCATGCCTAGCATGTTGCTGCTAAGACCAGGATTCAAACTGAGGTCTGCCATGAGAAATCCAGCTCCTTCTACACAGCACTTAAGCACTGAACTAAGGGGCCAGCCCTATAAATAGTCTTCACAGCTTCTACCTCCTGAGATCATCTCTTTGAACAATGATCTTACTCCTTGGCCAGTATTCCCATCTTCAGAAACATTCCATGCCATTGAACACTATACTTACCATTCTCAAGTACAACATCCACAGCCATGGTTGTCAGGTCCTTAGTGCAAGCAGTCTGAATGTCTTCAGTAGGAGCAATGAATGTGCTAAGTCCAGTCATTTTATTGATGTAGACCATTCTTCCCAAGGCTACATCAAAATGCTGCTGCCAATCCAAAGAACATGTGCTTGGCTCTTCGTTTTCAGGACAAGTTCTTGCTTTAGATTCCTCACTCTGAAAACAAATTGCATTTTGGCTGGTTGTGGAATCTTCTACCTGACTCACTGACATTCTACTAGGAGAGTCAAGACTTCCTGTTTGTTGTTCTAAAGCTTTAATAAGAATTTCAGAGTCTTTACTGATAACTTCAGAATTATTAGAGGGTAATACCAAGGGACTTTCTGATATCTCAGAGTTTTGTCTTGTATTGTCAGAATGCATTTCAATATCTGTATTGAAAGAATTATCCTGTGTGACAGAATGCGACATGAGAATGATCCCATTCTCTGTTTTTTTATGGTCGTTTTCAAATAACTTACAAAAATCTTGAGTTAACGCACCGCACGAGTCACTGTCTTTCCTACATGAATCTGAATTCGGAAGTTCATTAAAATGACTCATCTCCATTGTCTGAGTCTCTTTTTCAGAACCCTTCAGTTTGGATAATTTAGAAGCTAGTGATTCAGGTGACTTCTCAATAGCCAAAGGTTTTTTCTTAAAGTAAGATAACTCCTTTAGCGTTACAGGACTTTCTCTCAAACAAGGCACCTGTTGTTCCAAACAATCTTCCTTGGAGAATGGAGATTTCTCTAAATAAAGGATGTGACTTACTGGTTGATCACTACCATTTGAATCATGATTCATAGTATTGATTTTATAACTATCAGAGTCGTCTAAGTGATTCTTGTCTTTCAGTGGACTGGTAGGTTCGACTTGAGAACTGAGATTCGTCGTCACTTCAATATTACTGTCTTCCACTTCTGTATCTGAAGGACTTGTTATTTTTCCATATTCCCTCTTAAACTTCTCTAGAGATCCTAGCTGTGAACTCAAGCTTAGCTTCTTGCGTACTATGCATTTGGAGGAATCAGTCAATTTATCTGTTTTCTTATGGCCATTTGAAATATGTCCATACCAAGGGAAGAAAGAGGATTCATCAGGTAATAAGCAATCTCTGTTTGTTTTACCACCTTCCTGAAAAATAGCAAAATTTTTATAAGTTGCTATAGGTTTGTGCTCTTGTCCATAACCTATGTTCATTCTGCCAAGTTTTTTGTTGGGCAGATGGGCAGATTCTTTACTTAAAGTGGTGGTTAAATCTTTGACATCTGGAGTCTCAACTGAATGATGTGCTCTGTTTCCAGATGTCTCCTGGGCACTTGCAGGACTGGGTCCATAATTTTTAAATGGATGTTCTGTGTCAGTCAATTTAGTTTGCTCATTTTGTACTACATGAGTTATAAAGCCAGTGGAACATAATTTAACTTGTCCATAACTGAAAACATTTATTTGTCCATAATTACTCGCTTCTTTTTTTCCTTTTGCTTTCTCTCTTTGAGGAATGTGTAGTCTCCGTAACACTGTCTCAGTGGGCAGCGGCTGGCATCCCATTTTGGTAGCGTCTTTAAATCTCTCTAATTGATTATGAATTCCATTAATTTTTAGGACATTGGCAGTCATGTCCTTAATCGTAGTGCTTACCTTCTGTGTTTCCAGATCCTTCCCACCCTCTTCAAAGAGATGTGGTGTATGAAATGGGCTTGAAAACATTTCTGAACTACTTCCACATGGCTTTTCTAAAGAGCTATGTTCCAAGCAAGATTTTTTACATTTCTCATTTTCTTCTGACTCTGATACATCAACCCTCTCTCGTCCCAACATCTGCGATTCTGCACAAGAGCTACCCTTGTGGTGTAAAGATGAATCTGCCATTTTATCATGGTCTAGGCCATAGGATTTATAAGTATATGAAAGTGAATCATTTGTCTTTTTTTGGATAGCTCCTGAATCCTTAGGATTCTGTGTGTGTATGTTTTCTATAGTAACTTTTCTTTTCACAGCTTTCGATTGTAAATTAAACATTTCATAGGAGTCAAAAATATTATTACATGCTTCCTGGAAGCTACCTTGGTCATGCTTCTCATCAGAGGACACATGCTTCTGAAGAGTAGCACCGAGCAAACTGAAATCATTATCTTCATTAAATTCCTTAAGGTCTTCACCTGTTAATTCCACAAATAAATTTTCTTGCTTTAAAAACAACTTCACTCCTTCCTGAATGCAAACCAAGAGAGTATCCCAGTTCTGAAACTCAATCAGGGTTTTCGCCGGCTCCAGGCACACGTCATACTCACAGAATTGGCACTGCACATTGATCACATATACCCCGTAGAGTTCTGGGGCAGACCGATGTCGAGGACTTGAATTCATTTGCCTACTGGCAGAGCCATTCTTTGGCTTGCATATAATACTTTCTTTCCTTAATAAAAAGTCAATAAGTTTATGCAATTTCGTCTTTAAAACTAGTCTTTTGTTTACAAACAAAAACTGTATACTCTTATTGTAATGTGCTTCAGAGCTGATATAGCCATTGAGCTCAAACTCTTTATATTTAAAGTTGATTTCTCTTAATTTTTGGGATTTACCCAATCCATATATTTGACAAAATCGGGAACATATGTCTTTGGTTTTAGGGAGCTGAAGAACCATGGAACCAGAAACATCATTTCTCAAAGAGAAAGAAACAGAAGGGTGCATGAGGGCGAGAGCTTCTATCCTCTGCCGAACCTTCTCAAACTCCAGTCTAGGATCCATGCATTTCCTCCTGACAGGTAACTGGTAAAATAGGTTATATACTGTTACTGTTGTCCCCGCACTTGGTCTAGTCAAATCAGCTTCACAAGCTTTCAGAGCTTTTCCGTTCTGAAATAGTTTCACAAAAGTTTTCATTGTGCTATTTTTCTTGGATGAAATTTCCACAGCACCGGCCATGTCAGCTATACTTGCCAAGGCCTCCCCTCGGAAACCATAAAACCTCGGGTTCTCCAAGTCCTGAATGGAGCTGCATTTACTAGTGAAGTAACGATTTCCCACCTTGTCTACATCGTCACTGCCCATTCCCAATCCATTGTCTATCACTTGAACTTGGAAGGTTTCCATATTCACCCTGACAGCCACACATTTTGCTTCAGCATCAATACTGTTGAGGGCAAGCTCCTCAATGCATTGGCCTAAAGAGCTTATGGCCAAACCAGACCGCAATTTGGCTTGTACTTCGGCTGAAAGGCACTTGATCATGGCAGATAGAGAGCTGGTGAGAACGTCAGGCAGTGGTTTCCTTCTCTGGAACTTATTGCCTATGGGAGGGGAAAAAAAAAAAAAAAAAAGAAACAAACCCACATGCACAATCAAAGCTTCAGAGTTACATAGCATTACCCATTTCTCTCAAGCATTATGAAGAAATATCATTTGAGGTAAACGTAGTCTCTCTTACTAAACCAAATTGCAAAATAAAACAAAACAAAATTACATTTCTGATCTCTAGGCAGATCACACAGCTCATGCTTGGTGAAATGGATTTAACATCCAAAGAAGCATTCGTAATTTCATCATCTTCACTGCTCCTTTCTAAATCCCACATGCCCTAAAGTGAAATCATAATTACACTTAAAGTTGACTTGCAAAGACTGTATTCAAAATTGTAACCACTTCACCAAAAACAGATGCCTAAATTAAATTCAGCTAAGAAACATTAGGTAGAAATTATTCATGAAAAATGTCCAAGCCAGTTTCATAACACTTATACATTACACAGTCATGCATTTTAGAAAAAAATGTATAATGAAGTGCTAAGACACTGTAATAAGGAAAGTGAAGTAACAGGAGAAAATATAAAAATTCAAATTTTTTAATAGAGGAGAGATGGGCATTGAAAGATTTTGACTATTATTATTTGTTAAATATAGTTGCCTCATGGAAAAAGAGCCTGGGAATAAGAAATAGTAAGGCAGGAAAATTCCTTTACATATATGCCTTCCTTATAAGTTTCATTTTAAAGTCTTGTTCATGTATTGTTTTGATACAAAGTTTCTAGAACATTCTTACTATTAATATGCTGTTGTATTAATATTCTTTTGGCCTTAATAGATTGGGCATAAACTGCATTGGCAATAAGAGTGATGGTATGGGGCTGTGTGTATTTAAGTTTTCCTGCAGATTAAAACAAAATGAAAACTCTAGTGCCATTAAAAACCGTTCTCTCCTCCTCCACAGTGAGAGAAGGGCATGGGCTGACCTCTGGTTTCTCAAATTCCGGAAAATCAAGACTGTAACTGCAGAACTTTGGGTGATTTTTAAGAAAATGAAATTGCAGCCGGCAGCTAATGAGGGGTAAACGTTTAATAAGTGTCCCAACTGATGGAGACGCAACGCAGTGATTTCCTGATTACAGGCCACAGTGTCTGTGCCAAGCAGGACGACCTGGTGTGGGTCCAGAACTCCGAAAGACAGCAGGGGGCTCGGGGCTGGCGGGGCTCGGGGGGACAGGGCTGCCGGGCTCAGGCTCCGCCCCGCGCCGCCCCCGTCTCGCCTCCCGACACACACCGCCCCCACCCACCGCGGGCGCCCGCGCCGACCCAAGGCCGCAGTGGCCACCGGGGACCGCTGAGCATCCGGCTCAGTACAGCTGGCCCATGGCGGTCACCATGGCCCCTCTGCTGTTAGAAGAGCTCCCGGAGACATCCTTTCGTCGCGTGCTTGCCCCCAAGTCACCTCAATCGTGCTCCACCAACTCTGGGATATCAACCGCCTCTGACGCCCGACGCGCGCGCACTTCGGCTCGTGCACGCGCGAGGCCACGAGCATGCGCTTCTGACGGGACGCGCTGAGAACACGCCGTGGTCTGCGACATCGCAGTGCGCATGCGCACAGGTGTCAGCAGCCGGGACAAGCGCGTGCCTGGGACTCTTCGCATGGATACTACTAGCTTCTCAGTCCTTAACCCCTTTGGGCGTGATGTGAAAGACTGCTTTTAGTTTTGTTGTTATGCGTTCCTGTTTTTTCTCATTTTTTTCTCCTTTGCACGTACCACCATTTGATTTAATATATAGCTTACCTTTTTAGCATTGTCTTCTCTCACTAGATTGTAAGTTATATAAATTATTATTTTTACTTCTGTATTTGCGTGGCCAAGAATGGTCCCTGGCATATGGAGGACACTGAAGGATTCAACAGATCCAGAGCCTTCCATCTTAAAAAAAAAAAAAAAAAAATCACAGCATTTCACGGGACCAGCAGTTACCATAATGGCTATGTTGCTGGACTCTCATGTAGTCAACCACGGTTTGAGTCCCAGACCCGGTGGCTTTAAAACTCATGCTGAGTACACGCCCTATAGCAAAAACCTCACAAAAAAAAATAAAAAAGAAGAAGAAGGAAGAAGGGATTGCAGCGTGGCCATCAGTCTCTGTCTGGCAAGTGCATGCACCCTATAGGGAAAAACCTCTCAAAAACAAAAACAAAAAAACCAGCATTTCAGAGCTAGAAAACTGGGAAACTAGCTCAACTCTGGTTGTTTTTTAGTTCACTGCTGAGGGCACTGAGACTCCATTAACTTTTGTGGTATCTTGTCAATGTCTTACAGATTTTTTTCTAACTGAAGAGCAGAATTCAAAGAATATTTTGAGAATAAGGCTTTTGTAACATTAACCAAACCTATTTTTGCTTGCTTTTTTTCACTGGAAATTTACTTTTGTAAAAATTGAGATGTATGACAAAATCCTCAAACCCAAAACCCTGATTATTGCTTTTATTAGTTTGCTAGGACTGCCATAACAAAATATTATACCAGACTGTACCAACAGGTGGTGTGGTTAAGGCGCTGGATCCCACATGGCCAAGTTTGCTGAGATCCAGACTCAGTGTCTTGAAAAACAAGCCAGGTGTGAGTGCATGTGTGCCCAAAATCTCAAGGAGAATGGAGAAGGGATTGTGGCCTCCCCCTTGGGGCGGGTGTGTGATTTCTCACTTTCCTTTTCTGTCTCCAGCAAGCACACGTGCCCTATAACAAAAAATCTAAAGAAAAAAAAAGTAGCTTAAGCAGCAGAAGTTTTATTTTCTCTTAGTTTCTGGGAACTAGATGTTTGAGCTCAAACTGTCGACAGGGATGATTTCTTCCAAGGCCGCCCCTTGGCTTGTGATGGCAAGGAGATAGCCTGTCTTCACAGGGTCTTCACGGAGTCTTTCCTCATCTGGGTCCACATTGTCTCTTGTTATAAGGACACCAGTTAGATTGGATGAAGGCCTACCACCAACTGCTTCATTTAGCCCTTATTACCTCTTTAAAGGTTCTACCTTCAAATACAGTTACTTCCTGAGGTACTGGGGGTTATTAATTCAACATACAAATTTTTTGGAGACATAGTTCAGCCCATAACATTACTTTATGTGAATTCCTTAACCCAGAGGAAAGGAATGACAGCAGAAATTCCAGAAAACTAAGAGTAGTTAGTCCAAACCATCATTTGAATAGCCAACAAATTGAATTTGTGGTATTTCTTTTTATTAGTGATGCCATTTCCTAAAGAAAACTTAATAGGGACCAGCAGTTAGCATAATGGCTATGTTGCTGAACTCCCACGTAGTCGACCACGGTTCGAGTCCCGGACCTGGTGGCTTGAACTCACGCTGGGTGTGTGTGCATGCATGCCCAAGATCCCAAGAGGAGAATGCAGAAGGGATCGTGGCATGGTCATCCCCCCCGGGAGGGGGGGGTTATTTCTCGCTTTCTGTCTCTCTGTCTCTCTCTCTGTCTTTCTGGCCAGTGCACGCGCCCTATAGCAAAAACCTCTCCAAAAAAAGAAAAAAAGAAAAAAAAAAGAAAACTTAATAGAAACCATTTAAAGAAATAAATGAATGGCTTTCTGTTTTTTTTGGGAGAAATTTTTGCTATAGGACGCATGTGCTTGCCAGAGAGAGAGAGACAGAGAGACAGAAAGTGAGAAATCACCCCCCCAGGAGGGATGGCCACACTGCAATCCCTTCTCCTCCATTCTCCTCTTGGGATCTTGGGCACACACACATGTGCCTGGCGTGTGTTTAAGCCACCGGGTCCAGGACTCGAACTGTGATCAACTACATGAGAGTCCAGCGATGTAGCCATTACGCTAACTGCTGGTCCCTAAATTAATGACTTTCTTCCAGACGTCTTTAAATTACCTAAAATCCTCTACCCACAAAATAAATACCTCTTATTTTGCCCAATAGGAAGTTCGCTGAAGATAATAATGTACCCTAAGCAAGAGATTCTAATGTATTTTTATTGATTAAAATTGTGTACAATTGTAATCTTTCCATCATATAAGACATGTAATATACAGTAACATTCAAATATCTGATACTAAAATAACTTAACAGCAAATTCTAAATTCAATACCCAATAGTTCTATTAACAGTTTTATTAATAAAAAACAAAACCACTAAGTTTATCTGAGAAATGCTAAATTCAGCCATTACTTTATAATTTGGAAATCTGAGTAATCCAACTTGATGATGGCTTTCTCATTGCTGAAGTTTGCTCTGTCAATGTGTGACTTGGGACTTCCTTTTGTCTCAAGCCATTCTTGCATATGACGCACTTTGGAGATGGGACCTTGCAATTGTCCTTGCACTGTGCCCCGGTCAGTGTTCTGGACCCAGCCTACCAATCCCAATTTTTTACTCTCGGCCTAAGGGGAAAAAAAGAGACAGAGATCTAGTGAGATTGAAAAAAAAAAAAGCAAAAAACCAACAAAACAAAGTGTGACTACTACAATCTGTTATCAGAATCATGGCTTAGAATCAAGCCACCAAAACGAATTTGATATTGTACAGAACAGTTCAAACAGAAAGACAGCAAGAAGGATCTCATTGCTGATCTTACCATGAAGTGTTGGCCACTTGACTTCATTTCCTTCTTCTATCCTATAAAACCCAGGCACTAGGATTTTTACTGCTTAGTCAATTTGGTTAAGTACTGAAGACAGAAGGCCAAAACAGATGCTTTCAAGATGATTCCCTGAGGCTGCTCGTTGTTAGAATACCGGCTATATCTTTGCTCATTTTCCCCTTCTCCTAATCAAGAATTTATGTGGTATGTTAAATGGAATAGCATGACATTATCTGATCCTTCCTTATGTCTTCAACCAGGACCACACCTAAACAAATCCAGATGAACTAGTGTCCATCATGTATCTTTAAAGATCATTAAAGAGTATTTCACAATTTCCTGGGCAACACCCCATCCTTCTCACCGTAAACTATAAAACCCACATTTTTTTAAACTTTTGCCATAATTTAGTTTCTATGTTTAAGGTTTTTGCCATAGGGCGTTTGCGCTCATGAAGTGAGACAGAGAAAGAGGGAAAGTGAGAAATCACCCCTCGAAGGAGGGATGGACGTGCTGAAATCACTTCTCCATTTTCCTTTGGGATTTTGGGCATGCACATACATGTGCCTAGCGTGATTTTCAAGCTGCCAAATCCAAGATTCAAACTGAGGTCAGCCATGTGGGAGTCCAGCGTTTTAGACACCCTGCTGGCCCCATAACCCACATCTTTTTTTTTTTTTTTAATTCACTTTACACCATCCAACACACAAATGAATTTTCCATCCAAAATACACTGTGCATTGGCTCAATCAAGCACATCCACATACATGTTCTCAGCAAATAATTTTCCAATTCTTACGTCCTGCATACCTTGCCCTTTGTCTTGCCATCCCTGATTCCCCATCCCCCACCCTCTGCTATGTCCCATCTTCCTCCCCCATTGTCCCTGGCATCCATGGTTGCCCTCCATACCTTCCT